GCTGTACTCATCTCTTGTTTTCTCATCAATCGCAAGCCCTCATCTGTGCTCAACAATGACATTCCTTATAACCTATTGCTTCCAGATGTTCCTCTTTATCCTCTAACTCCACATGTCTTTGGTTGTACTTGTTTTGTTCATGATCTCACTCCTGGTAAGGATAAGTTAACATCCAAAGCCTTTCAGTGTATCTTTCTTGGTTATTCTCGTCTTCAAAAGGGTTATCGTTGTTATTCTCCCGATCTTAAGCGTTACTTAGTTTCCGCTAATGTCACTTTTCTTGATCAACAACCCTTTAATTCTATCCTATCTCAGTTGTCACAGGTTGATCATGTTCTTCTTGTCCCTTTTCTTGACTTGTCTTTGCCAGCTGCAGGTGCTTCTATTCCAGATTAGCAACCTATTGCTTCTATACCTGAGAACCATCCACTTCTCACCTATCAGCGTCGCAAAACTGTGCCTCCTGCCGACTCGACTCTTGCTGACTCATCGCCCACTGCTGTTGCTTCTTCCCCTCCGGATCCTTCACCAGAGGCTCTTCCCATTGCTCAAAGAAAAGGTACACGTACTACTCGTAACCCTTATCCTCTTTATACTTTTTTGAGCTATGGCCGTCTTTCTTCACCTCATTTCACCTTTGTTTCTAGTCTCTCTTCTATTTCTATTTCTAAAACCACAGGTGAAGCACTTTCCCATCCAGGGCGGCGCCAAGCGATGCTTGATGAGATGACTGCACTTCATTCCAATGGCACTTGGGACCTTGTTTCTGCTCCTCCAGAGAAGTCTACAGTTGGTTGTCGCTGGATGTTTACTGTGAAAGTTGGACCTGATGGCCATGTTGATCGACTCAAGGCCCGCCTAGTTGCAAAGGGTTTTACTCAAATATTCGGCATTGATTATAGCGATACATTTTCTCCGGTCGCTAAGATGGCGTCAGTTCGCCTAATTCTTGCTCTTGCTGCTATTCGTCACTGGCCACTCCTTCAACTTGACATCAAAAATGCCTTTCTTCATGGTGATTTACAAGAAGTTTATATGGAGCAACCACCGGGCTTTGTTGCTCAGGGGGAGTCTGGGATGGTGTGTCGTCTTCGCAAATCCTTATATGGTCTCAAGCAGTCTCCTCGGGCATGGTTCAGTCGCTTCAGTTCTGTTGTTCAGGAGTTTGGCTTAATTCGCAGTAAAGTTGACCACTCTGTGTTTTATAGGATCACATCTCCTGATAAGTGCATCTATTTGTTAGTCTATGTTGATGACATCATCCTCACCGGGAGTGATCAAGCTGTAATTCGTCAGTTAAAAAAGTATTTATTCAGTCAATTTCAGACAAAGGACCTCGGGAAGCTGCGTTACTTCTTGGGAACTGAGGTAGCACAATCTAGACAGGGCATTTCTATCTGTCAAAGGAAGTATGCCTTGGATATCCTAGAAGAGACTGGTATGTTGGCGTGTAAGCCAGTTGACACACCCATGGATCCTACTATCAAATTACTACCCGGACAAGGAGAACCATTATCTGATCCTGGACGTTATCGGAGGTTGATTAGGAAGCTCAATTATCTCACTGTGACTAGGCCGGACATTTCTTTTGCTGTTAGTGTCGCTAGTCAGTTTCTTGATTCTCCGTGTGATTCTCATTGGGATGCCGCTGTTAGGATCCTTCTTTACATCAAAGGAGCACCAGGGAAAGGTTTATTATATTCAGATCAGGGAAATACAGAAATTTGTGGTTATTCAGATGTCGATTGGGCAGGATCACCCTCGGATAGGCGCTCTACTTCAGGCTATTGTGTTTTCTTTGGAGGAAACCTGATTTCTTGGAAAAGTAAGAAACAAATTGTTGTTACCCGATCTAGTGCAGAGGCCGAGTATCGTGCAATGGGAGTTGCTACCTGCGAGCTAATCTGGTTAAAGCAGTTGATTCGGGAGCTCCATCTTTGTGAACAGAAGAAACCCATGACTCTCATTTGTGACAATCAAGCTGCACTACATATATCCCATAATCCTGTATTTCATGAGAGAACCAAACATATAGAGATCGATTGTCATTTCATTCGAGAAAAGATTCAGTCAGGAGAAATCAAAACGGAATTTGTCAACTTCAATGATCAACTTGCGGATGTCTTCACTAAAGCTCTTAGGGGTCCTCGGGTTGAATATATTTGTGGCAACCTGGGTGCTTACAATATATATGCTCCAGCTTGAGGGGGAGTGTTAGAATAGTTGGAAAAATAGTTCAGTATATATATAATCCCACATCGTATGAGCTCAACCTATTAGGTCTTTTAGTCTCTTTAAATAGAGAGTTCTTGTACATTGTAATACACTATGATTATTCAATGTACAATTATTCTTTAATCTCAACTATCCTAATTCCTTAGTGACAGTAGGCTGACGTGTTAATTGATTATATGTGATATGAATCTAACCTCTAATAGATGCTGGATAATTGATTATAGTGGTATGAATCTTATCTCTGATAGATGCTGGATAATTAATTATGTGTGACATGAATCTTATCTTTGATAAATGCTGGATAATTGATTGAGAAAATTTTCAAGTATGTGATTTGTGACAAGATTGGATTTCCCTAATTTGTGTAATAGGATAATAGTGGAAAAATAGTTTTTGGGATGGTATCTCCTGAAAGTGATGACACAACATTTTGGCTTTATGCCTATGATGTTATATGATGTGAAAATGATTTTTATCCGTTCTTCACAAAGTGGTACCTGGCAACAGGATTTCTCAGGGTACTAATTGCAACTTTGGTGGAGAGGTGTGCACACTAAGGATTGATATTTTGATGATGGTCAAATTTGATTATACGTGACTAGCAACAGAGTTTCCCGGATCTACCATGGTTTTCTTCCAATTAAATGAAACTAAATAAAATTAATAATGGAAATGACATATCTGAATTGATGCTTGAGTTGATTATGATGAGTAATTGAGTTATTACTATCTTTACTGTGTTTTGGATTGGGATTACCATTTTTTGCTTATTGTTTGTGTTTGTGTGATTGCATGTTGCAATGATCTTTCGGGGGAGCAGCCCCTCAGTGAAGCAAGTTTCGAAGGATGGGGCTAGCAGTGGACAGTGAGGATAACGTCCCGGACATTTCAAGCTAGGCCTAAACATTATAAATTTTATGCTTGGAATTTAATAATTGTATAAGTCATATTTTAAGTTAAACCTTAAGACTACGGTTTTACATTTTGAAGTTTTAATATTTACATTGAATACATTTTTGGTAATGAAAGTATGATAAATTTAGCCTTGCACTTGTCCTTGTTACAAGTGCGGCGGTAACATTTTTCCAAATTTGTTTTAGTTTAGTTTTTGCAATAGTTATGTACTCTTAATAAATAATTAAATGTTATTTTTGACAATTCTGTTATTATAAATATTTTTAAAATTGTTAGGAATTTGGGGATTTTACGGAATTTGGGGATATAATACATACAACATCCTCATTGTTCGACACCTACTATGCTGCACTTTTGATCAAGTCAGGAATGTGGGCTGGACCATGTCTAGTGTGGGAAATGGAGGAGAAAGAAGTATGATACATAATATGCGGGTTCTACATTGTAACAGCCTGCCCACAGACAGGTGGGGAAGGAAGAGCAAATTCAGATGCAGAGTGAATTTGGGAGGAGGCCAGCCCCTCAAAGACTAGCCTAGTGGCTGTTATTTTCTTTTTCATTTCTGTTTATATCCTTTTCTATGTTAAATTCCCTCTGTAATAGAAAAGGATGTTCCAATCAGACTTCCAGTGCAAACATTATATAAAATATACTGTTTAATATCATGTTATTTGATACCTCGCAATACAGCTAATATTCCTTCTTCGTCATAGCAAATTACTCAGTCATAGATCCTTAAGAAAGTTCTCCCAAGCCTAAACGAGAGAGCAACATATAAAAGGGAGCCTATTAAGAAGTGCTCAAAGGGTGATCAAACCTCTTGTGCTATCAAACAAAAACCTGCTAATGGGCAATAAATTTCCACAGACTTTATTAATTTCCCACTTCAATGGAAAACTAGAGCTACTGATAGGTATAATCCATCCTTATGGGTGTATTCTATGAAGGGCAGTAAGGAATTAGGCTCTTCCCACTCCGAGTGTATGATTGATTCTGTTATAGGCGATTGATTCTGTTCTGTATTTACGGGTGATTGATTCTATATTTATGGGGTCGATTTGTGAGTAATTGATTCTATATTTATGGGTGATTGATCTTGTATTTACGGGGAATCTGTGATAAATAGGGGAGAAGGGGGAGGTAATTAGGCAGCCTAAGAATTTGGAGAGACCAAGTGCCTCTTGAAAACCCTGGACTAAGATTTCTTATGGAGAGAGAACAGACCTCTCAAAAGCCTACTATCACTTTTTTTCTTCTTTCAGATGTAATCACCATTCCTTCTCTGATATCAACTTGATATCAGTAGGATCAATAAAATTAAAATCTTTTTTCCGTCCTATCTTGTGCTATATGATTTCGGTTCCCATCCGTTTTAAGCATCAAGACAACAAACCCCATAAACATATGACAGCCTTCTCTTACCCAATTTAACCTTCTCTAAAGCAAACAAAACACCTATAAGCAAACATGATAAAGTCTTACTCGTACATTAAAAATTAAATCCAAACACCTATACAGTCAAAGGAATGCATGCTTATGAAGATGGATAAAGAAGAAAAATTCATTTAAGATGTACATCTGCAAAGAACAAGATTCTATCACGTGAAAACTAGTTACTAGACCACTGACAGAACAAATAACTGGTTTGCATCTCAGACAATTTCATGCTAAAATTTTACACCAACCTCTGGAGAACACCTAAAAATCAGTTTACAAATACAAATTCAAAATAATTGTGTATTCTTTTCAGACAGATGATAAAGCAAAACAGAAATACAGAATGCTACAAACTGAAAAAATAAATAGTTGATAGTGAAATTGCACTAAATTGGATTCATAAAAGAACTCACTGGATCAGTTTCAGCAGGTATGCCATGTCGAGACTGCACATTTGCTATCATCAAAACAACATTTTCACGCTGGTTCCTAACATTATCTTTCTGCATATAGAAAATTTACAATATTTAAACAAGAATGTTTAACATATGGTGTGAAACAAAAAGATTTTACTCCAAGAAAATTCATATTTCAATGGTAGTCTTGTTTAATCATAACTACAAAAAACTTCCACAATGAAATCTATTGTGAACTAGAAAACTGAAAGAAATGTAAGAGCAGAAAAACCACAGAATTGATGAAAAAGTAATTTGTCTTACTCTATCCAGACTGGTATGTTAGATTTGTTGGAATTCAAAAAAAGTAAAAATAACAGAACAAAATGAGGAAATAAATTGACTAAATGTAACATTGAGCATCTAGCCAATACCCAGAACCACTCTTCATAATTTTTTTCCTTCCCTTCTAAACTCCTACACAAAAATCTTTAAAGCCTCCCTTTCTATCTTTTTCTCTTCTCTTCATTCCTTCAATTAAACAGTCCCAATATTCCCATTAAGCCTTCATCACTCCCCGTGTCAGTAAGGGATAGTCTTATTATTCTCAAATTGGTCTAAAATCCCAATGTCACTAATAAATCCTTCATTTCCCTTGTTATCCCACCTGGTGCCATGCTTCAATTTTCTAGAATAAGTTTGAGTTACAGTATGAGTCTAACAAAATCCTATTCAACACATGCAAGTATGACACCATTCTCTTTTGTAATAATAATAGAGTAAACAATGGAAATGCAGGTACAAGGAGAAGAATAAATTTTATTTTGAGTATGCCGATATTTTCTTATTAAATCTAAAAATTGACTGTAAATTGGCTTTCAATTGTAATACATGAAAAATAAATTCAGGAAGGCATACAGTTTATTTGTGAGAAGAAAAATATAACTCCAAATAGAAACGCAATTTATTAGTGGAGGGATATTTTTTTTTTGGGGGGGTTACATAGTGGGAGGAATATTTGACATCATTGAAACCGGTGGATGACAAGGGTTTTAGAGTAACAAAATGTCCATTGTTACTTGTTAGCACTAAATGTTGAGCATATTGTTAAATATTGGTTCCACATCGGTAATAAAATTAAAAAAAAAAGTTCAAAGCAAAACAAAAGACTCAAGTAGGAAGCTACGAAGAAAGTGTTAATTCCACACAATTAGCCATAATAAACAGCTACAACAGAGAAATTACAATCATTACAAACCTGGAAACCAAACACAAATTCCAAAAGATCGAACATGTCTGCATCCCTTTGTCCAGATACTTTGAATACAGCAGGAAGTCTGGGGAACTGTTCAGTATATCTAATTGCAGATATTGTTGCCTTAACCTGATATTATGAATCAAACCTCACAAGTTACACAACCAAGCAGAGTACGTGAATTCCAGGATAATATTACAGATATCATGCAGACAATCATGAATGGGTGTATCAATGTTTATAATTTCATAACCTTTTTGTGATTATCAATAAAGGGAACAGATCAAATACAGGACACTGTAAAAAAAAGGCAAAAGATACATCAAGTCTTCTGAAGGGTTCAACTTACTTCTGGGAAAATTCTGATAGGATTTGTTAATGACGGTGCTTCTAGAGGAACAATATTGTATGGTGTCAGCTCTCCAGATAATGTCGCACTTGACTTTTTTATTTTTCTCAACTGAGAGAACATGTAAGACAAAGATGACAAGAGTTATTTGCAACCAGTTTATTTTTTCGGTACATCATAATCAGTTTATTTAAATAAGTTCTATAAGAAGTTTGCCAAGTTCAAGAATCAGATGAAAAGAGGTAGCCAGAAGATTTCTAGACTCCACAATAAGATGGCAGCTACTCACCCAAAAAGAATAAAGAATAGTAGCTTAGAATTTTTAAACAACAAATAATCAGTAGTAGTATAAATCAAAGACAAAATCGTGAGCAACAGAGAATGCACTGGATACAATGCAAAATCACACAAGTTAATTTGCTTCTTGATAGACATATTAAAATAATATACAAGGAGTACCTCCTCCATTATGAGCCCTCCAACTCCACTAGGATCAGCATCCTTGCTAAGCGCCTCCATGACCTCCACTAAGGCACGTAGTGTGGCAATAACCGTTTTCATGCCTGACAATCTAACTTCCAACCTAGAACAACAAAACAACTCACACAAATATTATACTGTATCAAAGCATAATCTAGATTAAATAAACATGGTTTTAATCAACAGAAAATGGAAATAGTAAATGAGACAGTCTTTCTGCATTTTTAAGAATTTGTTTGGTTAGGAGAGAAGGGGTGCCCTCCAATAACAATTTCATTACCTTGCAAATCATGTATAGCATATTAACATATATGACTTAAGGAGAGTTAATGACAGTTTACCCACCTGTTTCAGTGGTTCCACATTAGTATCAGCTTATTATTTTCCATATTAACATATTTTTATATTATTTTGCACCTTCAACAAAATGACTTCTTAGCACTTCCATTACATTTTAATTACATTCCAAAAAAAATGCAAGGCTAAGAGCTGACCATTTACCAGCTTTAGCAACCAATGGAGGAAAGGGAGTATTTCAAGAAAACTCATTAAACTGCACCAACAAGTTTAGTTTCACTTTAAGATAATTTTGAATCAAAATGAATAGACCATGCACTGAATTTTCATTGACATACAAAGCAAATCCTTCAAAAACAAGTAGGAGATTTTATCCATTGAGCAAAATAATCCAAGGTCAAGCTTGCACATAAAGCATCAAGCTTTTTGACATAGCAAAAAAGAATAAATAACCTTCACCAATCTCACTCAAGGAATAAACTACACATTTATAAGTTTAATTAACAAAAAAATCATGAGTTAGACATACTCTCCCAGTGTAGAGCTAAAAGTTCCAGATTCTTGCAATCTTTTCTCTTCTCGTTCAATGTCATCCACTCTATGACGTTGCTTGTAGCGTTGATAAAACTCCCACAGGTTTTCCATGTCGCGATTGCGATCAATCCGGGCTCCATCCTTCTTAGCAAGTTTTTGCTATAAACAATAGTGAAATGAAAATCACTAACAAGTGAATTGATAAGCCCTTTTAAGTCACTTGAAAAAAGAAAAAGGAAAAAATCAAATGACTAAAAAGGAAACCCTCAAAATTCACTACCAATACCTTAATTACAGACATTAAACCAGTCTTGAACTGAAGAACTCCCCTACCATCACTGTTGGGATCAAGATTTTGAGCCATACTATATGCCTGCTCACACACTGAAGGTCAAAAGTAAAAGGTCTTATTGAAGCATATCATAAAAAGAACACTGCATCACTAACAACTGATTCAAGCACGACAAAAACTCCATATAATGATATCTTGAGATTTTACAAGATAAGAACATGAACTTGAAGATAAAATTGTATACTTAAATTTTGCACTCAACTTGAGAAAAATTCTAAGAAAGTCGCGTTGAAAGCATAAATAACATGGATGCAATTGAAAAACTAAGCCAGATATAGAGGACAATATAGTGGAGCACATAACAAATTTATATCAATCATAGAGAGTGAAACTACATATTCTCCCTGGGCTAATGGAATTGCTGAATACTAAGCCAGATTTAGCAAACTACAAAAAATAAACCAATAAATAATCATAGTTAACCAACCCCCTCCCTAAAACAACAACACCAGGGAATCAAGATTGTTTGGAGTAAAACCCTTTTTTATCTCTTAAATATACACCCGTTGTTACAGAAACTAATAAGTAGCTTCTATTACTCTAAGCTTGTAAGACAAGTCTCTTAGAAAGTTAGATACAGCTGTCATAATCAGCTAGATAACAGATTAGGCACCTCTAAATGCAAGAACTCATGACTGAGTTCATCAGAATGAAAATAACAAACTCAAACTATATAGAATTCTCTCTATTTTTCTTTCTTCCATTTTCCCTCAGTTTCTATCATTTTCTTGCTCGTGTTCAGACTCTTTCATGATATCTAGAGTTTGAGATCCATGCCATGGCTTCGCCAGTAAACCCATTTCATAATGACGGCAAGTCACACCATTATTCTTCACCAAACCCAGTAGCAGCTCCAATCAATTGTTCATATTCAGGTCAATGTGATTAGACAAGAAAATTTTCTTGATCTGGAAACAACAGGTGGAGGCAGTGATTAAAGGTCATCAGCTTCATAAATCCGTGGAAAATCCTGAAATTCCAAGCCGATTCCTCTCTGAAGAGGATCATGGTTGTGGCAGAATCAATGAGGTGTATCTGCGATGGGAACAGCAGGATAAGCTGCTATTTTCTTGGCCACTCTCGTCATTGTCAGAGCCATTTCTCACTCAAGTGGTTTTGTGCATCCATTCTTGGCAGTTATGGGATGAAATCCTAACTTCTTCAATTCACAAACTCAAGCTAAGGCTCATCAATTTCGGTCTGAACTAAGGAAAACAAGAAAGGCAGCAGAACTGTCTCAGAATATCTGTTGCGGATCAAGGCTTATTGATTCCTTGATCTCCATTGGTTTTTCAGTTTCACATCAAGAGCATCTCCATACCATTCTGGATGGATTGCCAGAGGAATATGAAGCCTGTCACCTCTGTGAACAGCAGATTGGAGCCTTACACAGTACATGAGATAGAATCCCTGTTGTTAGCTCATGAATCTCGTGTAGAAAAGAACAGACAAGCCACTACATTTGGGTCCTCTGTTCAGATGGCTCAGAAACAATCTGAAACTAAGACAGTGCCTTTCGTCGGCTTCATCGCCATTGCAACCTTCTGGTAAAGCTCAAGGTTGTGAAATGGTACCTCCCACTCAGAATCAGTTCGCACATCACACTGTCCCTAATTCAGCAAACCAGTTTCAGCAGCAGATTCAGTATGGTGGCAATTTTGCTCAATTTCGATTCCGCCAACCAGGGCAAGAAAGATGTTGTCTCCGTGGTCACTGTTCTGGTTGAGGAAGAGAGAGCTTACCAGAATTCAGTTGAATGTTTAGGTCTGTCACAAAACTGGGAATAACACCGCCATTTGCTTCCATCAATTCGATTACACCTATGGCAGCGCTAATGACTCCATTTTGGTGCCTTACTATCCTATCAAACCTTAGATCCAAGAATTTCTCACAATTCCCCGAGGATGCAATCACAGTTTGATAATCCTTCTTGGCAGCAGCAACTTCACCTAACTCCAGCTCCTCCACCACAATCATCCTAAGCTCCACACTATGGTTCTACATCTCAGTCACAGTATCCTCCTGCTTCTCGTGATCCCATTCTATTTGGTCAGTCTCAGCTACCTGGCTTTTCAAGTTCAGTGGGATTGCATCCACCCCCAATGGCCTATCTCACTGCACCTGATACTAATGCCGAAGCAGTAACCAATTGACTAAATAAAAAGAAAGAACAAAACAAGAATTGCGAGAAAACACTTTTCTCTTTTCTTAATTTTATTTAACCAAAAACAACCTAATAATAATAGGGTTCTCCAAGCCTTAAATAGGCAAAATGAAATAATAAAAAGTAAAGTACTATAATCATGCGCAATCAAAGGAGATAACGCACAATCAACACACACTCAAACATAATCTAAAAATAACAAAAAGGGATAATTAAAATTATTGAAAAGCACTAAACTATGGAATAAATTATAGAAAAGCCCAATCCAAGTCAGTCACCCAGGTGCATCAGATACTGAATCCACTAAAAATTGGTATGCTGATTCTGGTACCAATCATCAAGTTAAACCTGACACTTGTGTTTTCTCTCTAGCCTGTTTGTCAGCTGTTACTGCATCTAGTTTTCCTAGTTCTAGTACTGTAAACTCAACTTCCATTGTAATAGCCTCTATTAACATCCACCTATGCACAATGACACTGGAGACTAGGTCGCCCACATTCACGTTATTCAGTCTGTACTTAAACTACATAATCTACCGCTCAGTAACAAAAATGTTGATGACTTCTGTTTTGAATGTTGTTTGGGTAAACCTCATCGTTTATCATCCTCACCAGCATCTACTAATTATTCCAAACCATTTGAATCATTATTTAGTGACCTTCGGGGACCAACCCATGTGCCCTCAACTGATGGCTTATCTTATCAAATAACATTTGTTGATGCCTGCACATGCTATACTTAGATTTATCTCCTGAAGCCTAAAGTGGTTCATTATCTGTCTTTCACCACTTCCAAGTCTTTGGTTGAGATGCAACTAGGAAAGAAAATCAAATCATTTAAAACTGACTAGGGTGGAGAGTTTAGACCTTTTTCCAAGGTATTTGCTGATTTTGGCATTATACAGTCTGATTTGACACCATACTCATCACCAAAATGCTTATGTAGAGGGAGAACACAGGCAAATTGATGAGGTTGGCCTCACACTTTTGGCCCATGCCACTCACCTTTTGGGACCATGCTTTCCTTACTACAATCTATCTTATTAATCGCTTGCCTACTACCTCTCTTAACCGTGATGTCCCTTTCATTCGCCTTTTTAACCAATATCCTGATTATAGTTCCCTCAAAGTGTTTGGTTGTACCTGTTGTCCAGTCCAGCAATAAAATAAATTAGATTTCAGGTCCTTTGTCTTCACCTTTTTGGGTTACTCCTCTGTAGGGGTGGTAAACGAGCCAGGGCCTTTGGCTCGGCTCGTAAAGGCCTGAGCTCGTTTAGTAAAAGCTCGTGTTGGAACCAGGCTTGGACTTGTATAAAAGCTCGTTTAATAAAAAGGCCACAGGCTCTAATTCAGAAGCTCGGCCTTAGAGCCTCCCAGGCTAGCCTAGTACATAAATATTTATTTATACTTTTTATACTACTTGTAATAACTCTCTCTCATCAATTTATTTCACCCCATTTTATTGGTTTAACAGACTTTTTGAATGATTTTGTTCTATATTATGCTATTTGGATATATATTGAATTTATGTATATTTATGGAATTACTAGTGCTGTTCTATATTATCCTTCATCCTCCTTCACACAAACAAACCCACAAAAACTCATTCGTTCCACTGTGCACTGCTCGTTTGTGTCAATTTATTTTTTATTTTATTTATTTTATTTTTATTTTTGTTGGCACTTTTTTTATAATGGGCTAAGATAATATAACCTGTTATCTACCTTCTCTCACTTTAATTTTATTTATTTATTGCAGACTTTGTAAATTATTGCTGCAAATTGGAAGCTAAGGTTTTTATCTGGAAATTGATTTTTTGTGGAATTCTGTTCTCTTATTTTTATTCTTTAACATGCTAGCAGGCTAAGACAGACTTCACACAGGCTTTTATTTTTTGTAAATAAACCAGGCCACATGCCAATATTATATTCGTAACAGGTAACAGGCTAAGACCAGTCGGACACGGTTAAATACAGGCTTGGCCCGTTAAGATCAAAGCTCGGCTCGGCCCGTTAACACCCCTACTCCTCTGTTCATAAATGGTGTGAATGCCTTTCACCTAGTGGCAGTGGCAGCATTTATATTTCCAAAGATGTCATTTTCAAGAGTTGTGTTTTCCTCACTCGGCATCTGTAAATTCTAACACTTCTATTTTCCCTCCTCCCACCCAGCAAGTCCAAGCCTCTGGTCGTCGTGTTCCTGCAAGTACCAGCCTCTGTTCCTCTTGTTCCTGTGTCTATTTCTTCTTCTGCTCCTCTCAGTTCTAGTCATGAGTCTACTGGTTCTTCCTCCTCAGCTACAATGTCATCTCCTATGTCTTCTTCATCTTCTTTATCACCTCCTAGTCCACCTTCCCTTAATCACATTGTCCCATACCTTCCTCATCCTAGTCTATTAACCCTATCCATACTCAATCTAAATCAGGAATTGGTCAAACCTAGGTTGTATCCCCCTTATTTCTCACTCATTTGGAGCCTATTTTAGCCAAACAGGCCCTCGTTATTCCTCACTAGAAAGCTGCCATGCAGGTTGAATTTGATGCCCTGAATGCTAGTCAAACCTGGCCTCTAGTCTCACTTCCTCCTTATGCCACACCTATTGGTTTGCAAGTGAGTTTTCAAGATAAAGGTGAATCCAAATGGTTCTATCAATAAATTTAGCCCTTACTAATGGGCGGTCCATCCAGCAATATGATGTCTATCATGCCTTCCTTAATGGACTGCTTAAGAAAGAATTCTATATGCAGAAGCCCCTAGGCATTGAAGCGATGACAAATCTCTGTATGTAAACTGCAGAAGACTATCTATGGATTAGAACTGGCACCAAGTGCCTGGTTTGAGAGGCTGACTAAAATACTCCTCAGTTTTGGATTAGCCTCCAGAAAATGTCAAACATCTCTCTTTATTCTCAAAGGCACTTCTCACTGCATTTATGTATTGATCAATCTGGATGATATTATTGGGTCCGGCACCTCTTTGCCTCTTATCCAGCAATTGATCACAAAACTCAACTCAGTTTTTGCTAAGCAGTTGGGATCCCATGACTATTATTTGGGTATTGAAGTCAAACATCTTTCTAATGGCTATATGCTCCTGTCTCAAGGGAAATACGGATGTGATGCATTAGCTAAGGCTCATATAAGTGATGCCAACAGCATTTCTACCCCAATGGTTGGCTGTTGTGAACTTAGTAAACATGGCAGTGACTAGAAGCAGGACACCAATTAATTTCAGTCCATTGTTGGGGCACTTCAGTATGCCACCATTACTAGACCTAATATCTGTAGTGTCAATAAGGTCTGTCAGTTTATGCCTCAAACATTGGCATCACATCCGAAGGCGGGTCTTTCAGTTTATGTCTCAGCCACTGGAATCACAATCGAAGCCTGTAAAACGCATATTGCATTATTTGAAGGGTACTCTCATGCATGGACCTCTTCTCCAGCCTGCTTTATGCCCTCAGCCACTCTCTCCTTTCGGGCTTTTTGTGATGCTAACTTGGCATCAGACCCAGATTGCAGGTCAACCTCTGGTGCTTGCATTTTCTTAGGACCTAACTTGGTTTCTTGGTGGTCCAAAAAGCAACCTCTAGTTGCTTATTCCAGCACTTAAAGCTGAATATCATAGTTTTGCTTTGAGCCTTTGACAGCAACCAAACTTCTCTGGCTCTAAAACTTACTCACTGAATTACATGTGCTAATCACCACTCCAGTCATACATTGTTACGATTTAAGTATAGTATCCCTCTCTCACAATCAAGTCCTTCACACCCGCACCAAGCATATAGAGCTTGATCTCTTCTTTTTTCGCAAGAAGGTTCTCAACAAGAGCTTGATTGTTGCTCATGTCCCTGTTGAAGATCAGCTCGCTAATGGTCTCACTAAGCCCTTATCAAGCTCTAGTTTACCAATCTGCGAGACAAACTCGTGGTGTCTTTTATCAGCTTTCAGTTTCCTCATCCACCCTGAGTCCGAGTGTGGGCTGTTAGAGTACACTCCGTGTTATGTAGACATGTACTATGCACAACACAGAGCTAGTCAGTTAAGACTTTCGTTAAGTCTGTGGTAACAGTTGTAACAAATTTCTGTATTCAGTTAGTAGTAACTGACTACGACATCTGTATAACTGTATAAACTCAGACCTGAGTTCAACTAGAAACAAGAAACATTCTCAGAGACCATATATTTCTCTTAGTTTTCTCTCTACCCTACTCTCCTTTGTTTCCAGTATTTTCTCTCTCTTTCTTCCATTTTAAATTACTCACCTCAGTCTCACCAGTCACCAACACTCTTATCATCAATATATATTTCATTTTAGTCACCACTAAATTCAAATTTCCAACAGAAACAGGATTTCCTAAATCCCCAATACCAGTGCCACAAATTAACAATTTTAAAAAACAAAAAATTAACAATTAAACAAAATTCACTTCTAAAAGGAACTCCAGTTACAGCGATACTGTTTTAAACACGCATCCATCAGAACACTGCAAGCTTCAACCTAAACAAAACGACTCCCCTATCAATCAAACTAAGTTTCCCGCGAAAACAAAAGTTTCATATAATAACACATACATATAGATCCATATTTAGAAACAACATCAACTGCAGCCACCATCGAAAATTAAAATTCAGAAACCAATTCTACTTCTTAAAAATAAAAAAATGAACACTTACAGATCCTGGCGACGTTAGGATCCTCCGATTGAATCTCATCAGCGGCCTGTAAGATCAAATCTACGTTGGTGGTCTGAGCGAGCGAAGGAGGAACAGCGCCGGCGATGCCACTGCCAACTCTGGCATGGCCGTGGCCGGCATTCCTCAGCTGCTCCCTGTTAAGCGTCGCTCGAACGAGCCTCTCCCAGTTGTCGCGAACCCTAGCCATGGCTTTTCGCGAACACTGTTGTGTGCGTTGAATATAACCGTTCTTGGATGAGGGTTTAGATCGACGAGGTTTTATTATCACTACTTAACCAGTAAGTAAGCTTGCCTGTTGCCTTGCATTTAGAAAGAAACGCGTATCGAGGACAATGGCAGCGTAGGAAGTGCGTACTTGTATTTTTCTTTCCTTTTTCCCTTTTGCCCTTTTTGTCCATTTGTTGTTTTGAAATTTGGGAGGAATTAATTGGACAAGGAAATATTCCAACGCGGGCTTTTTCCTCATTTTTTTCTTTTTCGGGTCTCTTTGTCTGAATAATAATATATCCATGTATATTAAATTGCAAATGGAAAATAAAGAAATTGTTTTTTATTTGATTAAATAAAAGTAATATATAGGAAAGAATATTGTAACAATAAATTATAAAATTATATTGTAAGAGAAAAGAAAAAAAATGGAATGAAATATTTTTTAAATGTAGAAAAATGTACCGAATAAATGAAATAAAATTGATAAAATATTTTATTTGCAAATGAAATATTTGATTTAACAGGTACTGAATAATTATTTAATGGAAAAATTATATGTCCTTGTAAATGACATAAACTTAAGTCCTTTTCAGATAAACATAGACACAAAGAAATATGGATCCACTAAAAAAATAAAGACAAAAAAACACAAACTTGATGAACCCGAGCTGACTGACTCGTATTGGGCTTTTCAATAATTATTAATTATTTTCCTTTTTGTTATTTTTAGATTACGTTTGAATGTGCGTTGATTGTGTGTTATCTCCTTTGATTGCGCATTATTATAGTTTTTTACTTTTTTGTTATTTTATTTTTCCTATTTAAGGTTAGGAGAACCATATTGTTGTTAAATTGTTTTTGGGTAAATAAAATTAAGAAAAGATAAATAGTATTTTCTCGTAATTCTTGCGAGAAAGAAGAACGAACACAAGGATTGCGAGAAAATACTATTTATCTTTTCTTAATTTTATTTAACTAAAAACAACCTAACAACAATAAGGTTCTCTAAGCCTAAAATAGGTAAAATAAAATAACAAAAAAGTAAAAAACTATAATCATGCGCAATTAAAGGAGATAACGCATAATCAACGCACACTCAAACGTAACCTAAAAATAACAAAAAGAGAAATAATTAATAAATATTAAAAAGCCCAAAACTATGGAATAAATTATAGAAAATCTCAATCCAAGTCAATCAGCTCGGGTGCATCGAAACTTAAGGGGGTATATTGGATTAGAATTTTGAAAGACTATTTTGAGATAAAAAATCTTATAGATTTTAAAAAATTATCTAAAATTATAGTGACTTCAAATATATATTTTTTTAAATACAATCAAAATTTTATAAGATTGAATTTTAATTTAATTTATAAGATTTGAAATAATAATATGGATTTATATGATTTTAAAAAATCATATGAATTTTTAGCATAACATTTAAAATTACAAGATTCAATAAAAAAAAATGCAATGATATTAATAAAAAAATTAAAACCTGCTTACCAAAAAAAACTAATATAATTTTCTCAATCAGTAATTAGACATGACTTGATATTTTACTAAACAATAGATCTCCACGTATCTATACTAGCATCCACGCATTAGCATCTTCTCGTTCATGCTCTTCGATTTGACCCATAGGATGAAAATTATTTTGCTCATTTTTTATCAGAGCTATACATATATAATTATTAGACGCACAACTTTTTTATTTATTAAAATAAATCAAAATTGCATATAGAACCTAAAGTTCATGATAAAATTTGATTTGAAATTTTTTGCAATTGATCTTGGAAACTTTGGAGTTTTTGTTTTACGTTATGAGAGGTTTGTAACCACGTATCATATGCATGTTTTCATTGAAAAATTCGAATTTGAATTTATGGGCTTTATTACATGAAAATTCAGAAAATTTCTCAAATTATTTTCAACCATTACATTAAAACCTTAAATTGCTTTTGGACTTTCGAAAACAAGTTTTTAGTGATCCACTGACAAAAAATTTGTTTGAAATCGTTTTAGCAAAGAAATTTCGTTCATGAATGTATTGTACTAAACATAGTATTCATATTATGAAAGTTTCAATATTTCTTTAGATCGATCTTGTTTATTTGATATAAAATGAAAATTGATTTCGGGGTTTTTGTTCCCCTGTATTTTTCCACTATTTTATGTTATTTTTAATACAAAATCACATATTTTTATGCCAAGAAAAACCGCAACCCATAGCTTAAAAAATTATTTTTAAACTTCCAAAAGCTCCCAAAAATCTTGTTTTTTAGATGGATTAGATTAGAATCTTGTTTAGTTATTTTGTGATGAAAATCGCTCACAAATCTATAATTTTTGAGCTTTGACGAATCTTCTATGGCAGAACTCGATTTCGAGGGGGTCGACCCGCCAAAGAAAGAAGAAGATATTGCAGTAGAGAAATCTCAAGAAACCATAGGGGTTATGGTGAGATTGTGAGAGAGCATCATATTTATATTTCTTATTAAAAAGTGTCACAAAATCCAAATCAATAGAAAATTCACTAAAATCGTTAGATTTTTTAATATCACAATATTATTTTTTCTTTGTTTAAAAAATCCATATTGAGTAACACTGAATTTAAATGGACTCTAAAATAATTTTTTAAAATCTTAATTGAATACCACGTGACTTTTTTTTAATCTTTTAAAATCTTAATTGAATACTAAGGAATGTTTTTGTCCAAAAACAATCCTTTAAATTATTATTTTTATAATCCATTAAAATCTTTTTTTTTATAATCCATTAAAATTCTTTAAAATATCAATCCAAAACACCCCTTAGGTCGTTTTAATGACATTAACTTTTATTTGTTAGAGGATCTTTCCATCGTTTCTTTTTTTTAGCCCTCACATTTTTGGGTTCACTAAAATTTAATTAGGTATTGTTCAATCTGAATGTGTTTTCTTTCCCATGAGAAAGAGATAGAAACAGAGGAGAGAGATTTTGAACAAAGGCATGTGTCCCCCTCCCCTCCAAAAAAAAATGACAAGTATTCAATCTTGCAACGTATGATAAGAGTCAGAGTAAAACACTATAGAATTGTAATTAATAAGTGTAAAATTTAATCTATTGATAATTTATAGTTTAAAGTAATAATAAGAATGAAAGAAATATATTATTTTTGTAATTAATATATTTGCATAATAAAAGTTTTTAATCAATTTTAGACCAATAGTATCATAAATTATTGATATTGTGAAATTTTTAACTGTAAGTGAATCACAATTAAATATTATGTAAGCAACCACGCATACTTTAACAGTTTTACTTACATCAAACCGCGGAACGTGTTTTTTTAACTAAACATAAACTTGCATAAAGTAAGTAGACTACTTTTTCAAGGTCACTTTAATTCGAAAGCAATTCGGCTGACATGTATATAAAGCTGTGAATTGAAATAAAGAGACTTGATTGAAAAAAAGTGGGGTTTGAAAAGTTAGTTTTTATTAATAATTCATATTTCTATTATTATTATTTTTTATTTCAATATAGTATAATAGAATTCAAATAGTTTATCAAAAAAAGAATTCAAATAAATGACATTTCTATATAATAAAATAGGGGAAAGCAAATCTCATGTCGCACGACAAGTTTTTACCTTCCAGCAAATACATGAAATCATTGTGCCATTTTTTTTTATATAATTAAGTGGGTCTCATATTCTTTGTTTCAATTATAGGAGTAAAAATCTGTCCTAGAATATGAGATCATTCTTCCCAATAAAATTTTTTAATTTGAAAAATATCAATGAAAATATAGACAAAATGTAAATTGAAATATAATTTATTATATTTTATATTTTTTGTTATTATTAATACTTTGATTATACGTTCTTTTAAATTTATATGTATTCCTTCTAATATAAATATACTTCATAAATCTATTAATGCTTCACAAATATTAACTTTATAAATATTAAGAATATATATTATTCCATTGATATTAATAGTATTTAAACGACGGTGTTTTGACTATATTAGTTCAAAATATAAAAAGTTGTATCGGATTAAGTTCTTGGTCAAAGGTATTACCATATTAATGCAAAGCGACGCGTTACATTCAGGTTCGTGTTTGCCTTTCATAGACGCGGCCCTTGTCATCCCGTGTTTGAGGTGTTGCAGACAATGAAGACGGCGCTGGTAGACATAATAGAATGGAAATAAATAAGATAAGAGGAAGAATAAGAAGAAACAGATGTGACGAAATCAGAGATCGAAGGGAAACAAGAGTGAGGTGGACACCTACTACAAGAGTGATGAAGACTGCGCCACTGAAAAAGAGGATCTTGTTGTAGCTCAAATGCCAACTCGCCATACCCATCGGCACAAACAGCACTACACACGCCGCCATAATTTTGGAATTTCGATCATATACTATTTGATAACGAAAAATTTTCTGAGAGCAGAGTTGTGACACACCTTGCACAGATGTTGAAAGGGATGACAGGAAAGATGTCGTGATGACAACTGACAAGCCAATGCAACTATGGAAGAGGAGGGATTTTAGGCGGACACTGTAGTTTCATGTATAGGGGGGCTACGGTGGAAAAAATAAAATAAAAAAATTATTTTTCTATCCTATCACATCCTCCTCTTAACCCAAGCTCGCTTAAGATTAGAAATTAAGCTATGAGTATGATAAGAGAAGTTAATAGGATAAATCTATCATATATATTATTGGTTCATCAAATAATGATAAGGACATGATATGATAGTCTATAATATTCTATCCATTTTATCAGATGCACCAAACGGGTCTAAAAAATACAATATTTGAAATAATTTTTTCATAAAAGTAGCTTACATACTCAAACGAGGATGGATTAAGCATGGTAATATTTTAATTTATTTTTGCAAATATCCATTGTTATTTAAAAATTATAATTTCATGAAAATTTTGATATAAGTAAAACTTATCAAAACATTTAAATAACTCATAATGTATAATCTATCTCAATCGTACAATATATACTAGCACATATTGGATATTAATGAAGGAATGAAAGTGCAAGAAATAAATAGTTAAGGATTAAGAAGTTTGCAAAAATAATTTATCATGGTTCAATCGTCATCACTTGT